TTTGTTTCTGAAAGTGTCTTTCTTTAGTTTCTGTTGTACTCCATGTGTAGATATATTTTAGTCTTTTTTTTTTCTTTTGTCTTCTAAAATTTGTATGCTAGGTATGAACTGTGAGACAAATTACAACCTTTTTATTAAAAAAAAAAATAAATAGAAAAAAGTTTTATCTCACCATGCACTTTAGGCAGTAACTTCTGATAAGTACACCCACTGCCATAGACTCCTTTTCCTTGGACCAGACCTGGGTCAATCAGCGATGCCCTTCTCAATGTCCTTACCAAACCTTTTGTTCTGATTGAATCAGATGCTTTTTCATCAGTGTTGTTCCATAATGTCTGTATTTCCTGAACCATGTGTCTTCTTCAGGACTTGTGCTTCAGCCCTGCATGTTACACCACCTTTTTTTTTATTTATTTAGTTTAACATGCTGTATTAGTAGTTCTCTTCTCTAGTTAATTTCCCAGGTGTCTACCTTGTTTTACTTATCATCGCTTGTTATGGTTGTTCTCAGTGTCAGTATTTCTTATTTCCCTCCCTCCACATTCTCTTATGATTTAGTATGACTGTGCCCTTCTTTACCACCTGTTTGTTGGCTATAAGAAAAAAATAACTTAAAGTAGAAGGAATAATAAGGAAATCATCCTTGTTTTTGTTCCCTCAACATTTTTTTTTTTATTCATAACAATATTTAATTGCATCCAACATTATAAAAGGAATTTTAGAAATCAAATTGCAATTTGGATCTCACTTGTCCACCACAGGATTAATATTCTTTCTCATTTGCTCATAAAAAATTAGTTGCTGAGATTTTATCCTAGTGTGATGCATTATGTTCAGCTGATTGCCAGATGCCAGCCTGAGACTCTCTGCTCTGTAACTCTGTGGATCGATCCTAGAATCTCTTAAATACAAGGTATTTTTTTTCCTTTGAGAGGGCAGCTGCTTTTACTGTGAGACTGGCTTTTTTTTTTTTTATTTGAGCAGTTGCTTCAGCTGGATCTCGCAGTTCTAGCAATGCATAGTAAATTAAATATAGGTATAAAAACCAGGTACTGACTTGAATAAAAGTTAGGGTTACTGGAGGGATGTTGATTTGCAGCGTAGATAGTATAAAATTATAAGGATACTGTTAAAATTACCTTTTCCACCTTATGTATGGTCTGATTTATTTTTTTTTCCCCCCCTCCTTTAGTACTCTGATCTACAAGTTTGGAAGAACAGAAGAGTTATGGGGATGAGAGATCACGTATAGCATTGTCTATTCCATAGTTGCTATGTCGTACGATGTATGTAGATATATTTACATTTATTTGTTCTTGTTTTGCTTTCTAAATTGTATGGACTGAGACAAATTACAGTTTCTGTAATAAGCTCCCTCTTTTCACAGGACAGATTTGTGAATATGTACATACGACTGTATATATATCTTAAAAAGGGAATGTCGGGCTCTCTGAAATAATCTTTGGGCTTATTTCTTCAAATACATGGGTTTCCATCAACTCCTAAGACTTGATCTTCCGAACCTTCACGTGTGTCAGAGACTTCAGTGGAACTGTTAGTGAACAAGCAGGAGAAAGCCTGTCCCCTGTAGTAGGGGTTGTTGCTTTTATGCGTAGGTGAGCTAGAGCCAATTTTGCGAGGGCTGCCTGTGTAACCTGATGGAGTAGCCAGCGCATGGATGTGACCCGGCTAAGCCTGTATTTAATGAGGGTAAATTCTACTGTATGCTGAGATAAGAGCTGATTTTAAGAATTTTGTATAACTCTTCAGAAAAATATAAAGTAGCTATTTTTTTGTAAAAGGTTACGAATTTTTAAACAAGGCCCTATATTAAGCAGGTTCTGTGTGGCAAATCAAACTGGACTTCTGATTGCTGTAGCACAAATGACATTTGGTAGCACCACAGTCCTTAGAATTAATTTCATGCTGTTCAGTGTAATAGATACCAATTAGTATGTAATATATTCACTCATATTAGAATACCAAAAAAACCCAAACAAAACTGATGTCAGTCATACTTAAGAAATATAAAGAATAAACAGGGGTCAGACTAACATCTTTGAAATTCTGCTAGCGTAATTTTCTTCAGGTGAAACTTTTTGCTGATAAGTGAACAGTTATCCTGCTACCTGTTACCTTTTCGATTTAAAAGGCAAACATTTCAAGTGGGGATATAGTAGATGTATTTATTGCTAACAATCTTACCTTGAAATAATTGCCAGTTTTAGGACTGCCCTTTGCCCCAGTTAAAATGTATTTATCTCCTACATTTCATGGGCACTTTATGGGAATGCTTCCATTATTGAAATCCCGTTTCTTCTAGCTGGAGTATACAGAAAGGGCAGACAATGACGTTTTATAGCTTTGGGCTGATCTTGTACATTCATCTTGCTATTAGCGACTTCCTTATCTCATCAGTTCTATGTGGTTTTTAAAGCATTTGAATCTACCTTGTGTCTAAAAGCTTTTATAACTTTCCGTGTATCGAGATCGCTGACCAAACGGTATTAAACTGCAGAATGCAATTTCTGTGCATGGTTACTGTATACTGTTAGTCATCGACCTGCTCCCTTGTGGGAATCACTCCAGTGGACAGAATATGAAGCAAATACTGCAGCTGAAATTGTGCTACTGGCTAGACCAACTTCATCCCCGTTTCACCATCCTGCAGTGAGTTAGGAGCTATTCACCGGTGTTAATCATAGCTTTGTACATAAGTTATCTGGTTGTAATTTCAGAAAACTGCAATAAACTTTATCTTACGTTCTCAAAATAGTGAACTTCACGTAGTAATTGTACAATACTTTACTTAATAGCTCAATTAGTATTGATCTTTAAGTGACTCTTACACCAGCTAATAAGTAAGCACAAGGTTTTTGTTTTCAGGTCTATCAGTTTCTTGCTTAGGAGACTGGGAATGGTTGTTGGCTTTTTTACTGAGAAACAAGTGTAGCCTATAACTAATCCCACTTAGGGGATTTTCCACCCTGACACTTGACCAGCACAAGCTAAGCGTTTGACTCCGGAAGAACTCTTCTGGCTTGCTTTAATGCAAGTGCCTGGTTAAAAACCAGCTTTCTTCAGAGCTGGGCAAGAGCTTTCTGAGGTTACCTGCTTTTCCTACCAGAAACTTGCTTTCTTGCAAGTATTTCTTGACCATCCCTTCTGGTTTTAGAGAACTGGAATGGTCATGCTCTGTAAACAGCTGCTAAGAGGAGAAAAGAGACAGCTTTGAGGATGTGTCTTTTCTGGTGTCCTAAGGTGAAAACAGGCGTAGTGTAAGAACCATGCAGGCTTCATTCAGACTGTCCCGAGGTGCAGTTTTACACCATGGGTAGTTCCAGCCCAGGCTAAAGTGGAGAGGTATGGTTCATTTCAGTTAAGGCCTTGGCCCACTACAGTTGGCAGTTGTGAAGAGTTGCGAAGGTTTTTAACTTCGGCCTATTTGTATAACTGTACAAATACTTAGTAACAACTATCTCTAATAGAAGTCTAGTGTGGGGCTTAGTCAGGAAGTTGTATGCTGTATTGCTAAATAATCACAGGAGGTGTTTCAACTGCTTTCTTATCTATATGTCCTCTATAACACATGTAGGTGGTTCCTTCTGCAAGCCTGTAGTTCTTCATTTGTTTACAGCACAGTATAGAAAAAGAACATGGATGAACTTAAAAGCAGGTATTACGCAGCATGTGGCTGACTTGAAAATTCTTACCAGACTTGAAGTATGACTAAGTCTTCAGATAACTACATTGTCTTGGCGTGTTGCCTAGTCTCAGGTGATGAGACTAGTTCTGTGAGGCAACAACCTCAGGAAGCTTTTGGAAAAACTGTTACTAATTTTCATGCTAGTCTTACATATTCCTGGAAGGGGTGCAACAGCATTACCTCAGATGATAACCTACAGCTCTGGCAGTGACCCAGTTCACTAACAGCCCTAAGTAACCCAAACAAGTCATTTGCAATCTAACAAGCACAGTTATGTTGTTTTTTCTTAAACAGCTTGTATCAAACCCAAGGAAAAAAAAGTCAAACAAATAAACCCAACCTTTTTTAGTACAGAAGTGGTTAATTTATTCTTTGTGCTTTATTAGACACCTTCCAGACCCCACAGGATTGTGATGTGAGACTTAACTTGCAGTCTTCTGCTTTAAGGGACTCAAAACGCAACCCTCAGTCAACTTTTCATTTGCAGGACGAATCTGCTAGTCAACAAGAGATTTTAGTGTCTGATAATTACTGATAATGTTATATAAATTCTGAGCAAAATTACTTTAAAGTTTGTTTTGCTGTGAAGAACGATTTTCTCACTGCAGGAGCAGAAGATTAATGCTTTTTATGAATGTGTTAGGAGGCAGCTATCAGGAGGCCTTTATTGGTGCAGTTCTTTGCACAGGTTCATGCTGAGGAAATAAAGTCCTATACAATTTCTTTTTTTGACTGCCACTTTGATCTGGAGGGAAGAAGGTGCCAGAGAAGATTGCGTGTACTTAACATGATTCAGAAAAGAGAGTGGATATTACACACTGAATGCTAACGCAGAGTTCACCAATAAGGCAACAAACCAAAAACCACTATAGAAGTAATTCACAGTACAATTATTCACTCGCTGAAAAATTCCAGGTTGTACTACATCCTACTGTAAAGTGCCATTATTTCTCAAAGCTTTATTTCAATTTGGAGTGGGAAATACGATGATGTTAATATAACCATTTTATAACCATCTCTCTGTCTTTAAGCAACTTAGTGTTCATTTCCCTTTCACCTTCCACCTTTTAAGTCTCTTTGGCAGAACACCGTTGCTGTTGTAACACAGCAGAAGCCATTTAGATAAAGGTTCAGGGTCCACACTAGTCTTTGGAAGCAACATCTCGCTCAGGATTTGTCAGTGGCTGCATTTTGTCCAGAGCTTGTCATCTGTCCTGCCAGCCACCGCACCGTGCTGCATGTGGGCAGGAGCCTCTGCAGAGACTTGGTACAGGCACTTTCACTAGAGTGCTGCTTAAGTTACTTCACTTTCACTGGAGATGCTGCGTGAATGAACTTGACCATCCAAACTGCTGCCACAGGCTTGGCTTCCTTCTCCATAAAACACAACAGATAAGGAATCGTGGGGATCGTCCTCGGCATAATTGTCCAACATATCTAAACCAGGCATGCTAGGGTCCTTCAAATACTGGAAAAAGCAAGAAACACCAGTTTAGCTAGCTATGCACAGAACAGATGTATTAGAAATTACAGAGACAGAGCAGGTACCACCATCTGTAGGCTTCAGCCCAGAATTCACAGCGAGAGCTGCCAAGTGTATATTCTAATCTAGATTTCCTTTAAACTACATTGAACAAGGAAAAAATTAAAAATACCTTATTTCTGTGGAAAAAAAAAAAATAAAATCAGTCATGCAAACATCCATTTAAGTAAGTTAAAGAAGCCTGCCTTTCTTTTTTTTTTTTTTTTTTTTTTTTAATAAAACCCAACTTTTTCCATGTCAGTTCAAGCAAATTCCTACTAGTTAAGACAAAGCCACAGAAGCAATGCTTCTTTATTACACTGCTGGGGACATATCCTCCAACGGCAGGAATCTAGCAACCCACAGCTTGTCTAAAGCGCTGACGGAACAAACAAGATACAAGATTCTGCTTTGTCCAGTGTCAGACCAGTCAGATCTGCATCTTTTATTGTTACCCGAAAACTCTAGCAGTGTTCTTCTCTTGTAGTTACCTTCTGCTTTGACTTCCCCTCTGCCCCACTTTCCTCCAAAATTCCATCAGCTTTACAATGAATGCATAATCAAAGAAAGGAGCATTTGAAAAAAACACAGGTCAGATAAAACGCTTTCTGTTCCTCCTGCCACCGCCATATACTCTCCTTATCACTAAGCTGATCTTGTATTTCACGGGGAATTGGAGCCATCTACCACTTCATGTACTGAACAACAACAACAACAACAAAAAAATATCAGCCATTGAACATATTTTCCCCGATTTAAAAAAAAAAAATATCTAAAAAAGTACCTGGAACACAGACACCTTCACATTGTTAAAATTCTGACGTGGCTGGCAGTTTTACCTAAAAGCTTGTTCTGTACTGTAGGAGGTGCCCTAATTTGGCTGAGATGGGACTGCAGCTCAAATCACGTCTGTTGTGGGACAAAATTAACCCTAGTTTCAATTAAGGCACCACTTTCTCTGTAATCATAGCAAGGCTGATGAGCAAGAGGATTTTTTTTTTCCCCAGGTGTACCAAAATCAAGTGTTTCATACAGGAAGCTTAAATACATCCACTTTAGGACATTCAAGACATAAACGAACCTCAATTTGGCTTTGCTATATAAAGGATTTCTGTGGTCAAACTGCTCCCTATAACTCAGATGCTGAAAGATCAGATCCTTCTGTAAAGGAAGGAAGCATTAGATTTTTCAGAAAAATCTAAAAAAGTACATTTAATTGCCTTAAAATAATTGGTATTTCATACTCATGTGTTTTAAGAGGAGAAGCTTCAGGCTGGTTGATCCCTTTTAGAAATACACATTTTAAGAATTCTGCGTATTTCCAAATTTTCCTTCATTTCTTATCAGTGTTTTGCCCAAAATCAGGCTCACCATTGTTGAGGGTATCTACTTGTGCTGCACATTTTCCAGATTAATAACAATTACTCCAGAAAACATGATGATAGACTCTATTCTTGCAAGTCCTTTGCATGAAATGCTGCACTATTTTAGTACACTGTACAAGGATTTTCTTTCCTATGTGAGACATACTTCGTTTGACATTTAATACAGCTATCTCCACTGAGCTCCCACGGAATGGTAGCTGAGGTAGCACAAAGAGAAAAAAATGACGTATTCGGGACTCCGCAGGAGGTCTGGGTTCATTCACCCAAACTTCTATTAAAATCGGGAAAAATAGCTCCCCAATCACAGAAGTACCATGGTACAACAAACTATTCTGACAGAGATACATACTAAGAATACACCTCAAAGAACTGCAAACAAATACAAGCTTTTCAAAATATGGAATGTATGCTGAACAAGAACTTTTAAATCAAGAACTTTGTGTAAAGACTACTTCCTGTTTAAATACTAAAAAGGGGAAGAAGAACAGGACTGAAACAATATTGTTTAGTACAGAAATGCGTGAGCTACAAGGAGGAAAAAAAAGTCCCAGGATGACGGATGACCTTTTCATCCAAATATTGCTAAAACTATAGGGAAAAAAAAAAAAAGCCCAAGAACATTCCCAGAGATAGTCTTTAGTCTTCAAGTCAGTCGTTGCTCTTAAAATGATCAGTGTTCACTTTTCCATATTTGATTTCTAATCAGAGACCTAGGTCCCAAGTACATGTTCTGCAGCACACAAAAGCTTTTTGCTTCAAGTGAGCAACTGTTTCAGGCCTGATGGCTTAGATAAGCAAAGACAGGGGCGGACAAGGGGCAGTCAAGGAACAGAGAATCTTACTCCAGTTTCTTAACAGGATTACAGCAGCATTTGTACTTAGTGCAGAGAAAAAAATAATTCAGTTGAGTAAAAGAGGAATAAAGTGGGAGATCATATATAAGAAAAGTAACAGTTTACACTAAGTCAACAATTATTTATATCTATTTATGTTACGCAACAAATAGCTTCATTCATATTCACTCCAAGATCGGGTTGGGGGGGGGGGGGGGGAGCAGAAATATAAGATGTCTACACATACCTCTTCAAAGTGTGATGGGATTTCTAAAGGTGGCTGAGACCAATATTTAAAAGTTTCATGGTGTTTCCACAGAAGAAACAAACCAGCTGTTACCAGAATTACAACAAGTAACACTGACACAAATATTAGTATAACATATTGATCTCTAGTTGCCTCTGAAAAAGAAAAAAACCCAAACATATACATATGGTAGGTTCATATTTAAACATCACCAAACATAAAACAACATACAGCAAGCTGAAATTTACTCTACCTGGTAATCAAAATATAATTTCCAAGGCTAAGATCACAACCCTACTACAGATGCACTCTCAACACCTGTGTTCACAAGTAGCTTGGTTTGTGATTCCTCGTGGAAGTCACCAGCTCCCACAAGCTTCTGCCCCTTAATCACGCAGCCTAAGGCCAGCTCCTACTTGACACGCTAGCAGGGCAAACGCAGAGCTGGAGGAATCACTGCTGGTGGGCAGAGCGCAGGTGGGGAATGCAATCTGCCTTTCCACCCTCGAGTTGCCAGCAAGGGCCGTTAATGCCAGGGACTTCTCTTTCAGAACATGCATCTCCCTTCAGCAAAGAGAGCATCACAGGCTCCAATGTCACAGCTCAGGGGCTTGCGATCAAGTACTTCAACTAGGTCTATACTCCCCAGGAGGTCAGCTCCTCGAGGGCCTCAGAAACTGCATACGCAGGTTTCATCTACACATCTTCCAGCGAGATTAAAGCATGCTAAAGATCAGCTGTGCTTGTGTGTTGGTGGTGACGTGGAGAGATTCCAGAGAGGTACAAACTCCATTATCTTGCACATGCCTTCTCCGCCCCTCCCCTCCCCCTCTCTCTTATCTCATACAAAAATATGGAGCTCGAAGTGTCAGAGAAGGAAGCAGGTCAAGAAGGAGAACGAGGTTCCTGTCCTGCAGGAGGCAGTGGCTGAGGGAGAAGATGTGCAAGAGTAACAATATCTCCTTTTTCAATGACTTCCTCTAAAGACCAAGTATTTGTATTTTGTCTCTAGAAGGTAATACCCATAGCAGTATTTATTATGAAGCAAAAGGACAAGGGGAAGTATACAACACAGTTGTACCTCAACTACTGACTGAAAAGTTCCATGTTACTTTGCTGTTAATGACAATTGTGAACTACTATTGGTGGTGCTCTCTTAGCACTCCTGACAAATACAGGTCTGTAGCTGACCAGTTACACGATCTCACTCATGTTCTACACTCATCCCATGATATAAAAAAAAAAACAACCAAAACACAAACCCCAAAAAACCCCAACCAAACAACCAAAAATCAGATTTATACCACTGATTGTAGTTCTGTGACACTCTGGGACACTTTGCAGTCCAAGTAATGGACGAACTGAATGTGCCATCAATTCTGCTTGAATTCTAAAACAATAGAGTGTTGATTCCTTTAGATTTTCAATTTTGAATAGTGTATTGCTCGTCTTTTTCTCCTGTTTAAAAGACACAAAAAAAGTATTACTGTAAAAAAAAAACCAAACAAAACAGACCTCTCTAACACAAATCCCCTCCCCGCGTTTAAGTTTCTCCTTTAAAAAGTGTGGATTTTATTTTTCATAATTCAGCTTTTCCAAAGAAGAGAAACAGTGAAATATATTTCAACTTTCCTACTTGAATGCATTTGAAAATCTTTAAATGAAATTAAGCCTGACCATTTAAAACCCTCTATAAGGGCACAAGCAGCAGAGGAATGAAAACTGATATGAGGTCTCATTTTATCGACAATATGCTGCTGGATACTTTGACACAGCTTCTGTAAGAGCTCAGGCAGCGAGCACCATATAGGAAGGGGGAGGGAAAAACAAGCCATGAGAAGTGCCTCCACCATCAGAATCGGCTGACAGAAGCGTTGGTCAGTGAAGAGCTTCCACCATCTCAGCTCCTTCTACTGAAGAGGGAAACAGCAGATGGGCAGTGCAAAACCTCCACAGTCTCTACACGGCCACCACAGTCTTTTGGGAATTTTTAACTTGTAAAGGGCTAGGATAAGGGCCTTGGTGAAGCCTACAGAAGCATGCAAGAGTGACTTCTTGTCTGAATCCGAAACATAAAGGTATTTTATGTGTGTCAGAAAAATACACATTGGTGCAAGACAGGAAGGAAGTTGAGGTGTTTCAGATTTAACAAGGTCTTTGAAAAAAGGGTTTTTTAAAATAAATATTAATATTTTTCTGTTTTTTAAACATTTGACTTTAGAATGACATTCTTTTGAATGACATTCTTTTGGATCTTCTTCTTTTTTAATTTTTTTTTTTTTCAAGTATAACTTAATCCCTCCCCTGCAACGCTGGCCTGTCATGAACACAATTAGCAAGGCCCCAGACAGCAGCATAAGCACACAACGAGACCAACACCTCAAAGTCTCAATATGAGCAGGGACAGCTCATCCCAGCTGTGTCCAGCATGTTTCTAGTAACTGCCTTTCTCTGCCCTAGGAACAGGCGGCATCAGGCCAGAGCAGTCTGTTACTGAAGCTGCTAGCACAAGCAAGCCTAGCACAGGAAAGCAAGCAGGATATTTCATAGTTTTCCACATTGCCTAAGCAAACTTTGGAATCTAAATGCCATTTTAAAGCCACCTTTGAAACTTCGTGGATTCTCTCCCTTGATCTGCAACGTGATTTAACCTTCATTTCATATGGAGGAAAAGACAGATGTTTTTGAAAGCTTCGTAATACATACAATACTTGTGCCAAGACGAAATTAACTTTTTTTTCAAGTCACCAAATGTTGATCATCATTGCTACAGAAAAAAATGACATTAGTTTTCTTCCTCCATTTCTGCTGTTTTGCCAAGAGACGCTGACTCATATCTCTTAGTCACAAGGGCATTATGAAGAAAATAAATCAGAGAGAATTCTTACTTTTTTAGTAGTACTTGTTGCATTCTCCCAGTAGGACACATGATACTCAAGAAAGTCACCTGCTTCAGACTCAAAAGGGGGTGTGACACTAATGAGAAGTGAGTCAGAGCTTACATTCACGCTGTTCACTTTAGGGGGCCCTATAATAGCTGAAAATAAACACAGAAAGAGCAGTGAACCTCTGGACTGCAGAACAGCTCATCATACTGTCTCCAGCTTTACTTAGATACTCTCAGTAAACATGCTAAATATCAACAGCTTTTTCTCAAGAAAAGGAATACATTATTTTCTCATCTACTTACTGCATTTAAGATATCTACGTTACTACAAATCTAAGGAAAAAGACTTGAAAGCCTAAGTGAAATTAGATAATTTAAAAGAGTTTCCTGTTAACTTTCCCTGGAAGTTCAGTAAACATTCACTAGAATGTATCTGAATTTATCTGCAGTTAATAGTGACACAATTTTGTTCTATCTTTTTTTTCTTCAGCTAGCCTGCCAGATATTCTATGTTCCCTAAAAACCATACTGGTTGGGTCAATAGATTGGAAAAGGAGTAACTAGTTTCCCCCTCCTTGCTTTTATGTCTCCATCTGTCCTATATGGTAAAGATTATGACTTCCTTTTGTGAAGTACTCTGAGGTCTAAATTGTGCAAAATATTACATGGTCAGTCCTAATACAAGAGACTCCTGTATCATTGTTAGTCATTTATCTGTCTTGACTTCTTTCACCAGTTAAGCTTAACAGCGTTTGTAAAGCACTCCAGGATCTCAAAAAAACCCCACTCATGCAAATATTTGAGTAGTTAACGGCTGCTTGCATACTAAAGATAGGTAACTATTAACAGTAAAAATCAATCCTGACGTGCAATCATTGCTTATTGTACCTCAAAAAACCCAGCAGAACCTGCCCAGTCCACTCTTAGAGAAAATGGACTCTCATGATCTTCATATTGGTAGAGAAATTCCAATTTCTTTCTACTTCCTGTTGCTGCAAAGGCCTTGTTGTGCGTCCTCACAAATTCCTGAAGCTCCCCTCTCGAGTGGGACTGATCCTTCCATTAAAGGAAGAAAAGAGCCTGAATGAGTAGCCCATGGTCTTAGTGTCTAGGAATTGGTCTCATGGTCGGTGACACAAGAATGATCACATAATGTCCCTCTTGCTCCTCCACGGTACAGACACAGAGGCGTCTCTCCTGCACCAAGCCTCTCCTTTGTTTTGTATTCCCATTAGCCCAGTGCTTTCATAACCTCCAAATGATCCCACTCCCAAACAATCCTGCATCACAAGCTATGGATACGTCAGTTGTAAACTTGAATGTAGGAATCAGGCAATTCTTCACCCTCACACTCTTTATTACTAGACAAAATCCAAGATTTAGAACTGGAGTCATCAGGGAAAGTAGGATACTCTTTGTAGCATGGACCACCACTGCTCCTCACAAGGTATGGGAAAATTTGAACTAATGAGTTAATAAATCCGTTCCTCTGCTTCATTATCATTTCAGAGTTTTTTTTAGACTCAACATTTACTGTCTTCTAATCGTGAAACCACTCACAGCAAGGCAAAGAGCAAATCTTACAAAGAACAACAATATGCTTGTTCACACATTTAACAGGATTTACAGTGTGCCCCTGACCCTTCTACACTGTAGTTAGGACAGTTTATACTCATCAGAAAAGGGATCTGTTCAATAGAAACAAGTAGTTTGTACTCAGACTGCCACAAATCAAGAGGGTGAACGTGTGCATGGGGCAGTGCTAAGTGGCAAAATAAGAAAATGTAAAGCTCTAACAAAATATATGTTGTAACCCTTATAAGGCTCAACCACCCAAGGAAACTCATCTGTTTGTCTTTCGATACTTGTTGAAAGAGCCCACTGCTAACCCCATTACAGAGGAACTAAGTAGTATCAGTTTCCTAGTGACACACCGAGGCCTTGTGGTCTTTGTTAACCAAACACGTACAATTCTCTCTTTTGGACATAATAGACTCAAAAAAGTCTAGAACAGACAGCAAACGTATCTTTCAAAGAAATCTCCTTTGAGAGAGAGAGAGACACTGAAATCATAAGTAGCACTTACTGTTTCTCTCTGCCACAAACGGAAGTGTTTCCACCCATTCAGAAGTCACTTGCCCCAGCTCAGCCCTCACGCGCAAAACAACAGTCCAACGCCGCTTAAGTGACCAGGGGAAACTGCATTCAGTCTGGGTGATACGGGTGCAGTTCATCTCATCCCACTTGTTAAAGGCCCCTCTGCAATGCAAAACAAACAACAACTAAAGCACCAGCAGAACAGTGCAACTACCTAAAAATATAACCCCTCCAACATAGACAATTTTTGTAACAAAAGAGAGAATTTGGTTATGCTAAAATTATACAGGAAACCATGCACCATTTCTGGGTGCTCTTCAGGTCTTCAATCTTTTCTCAATGTAGTGGGCATATCATAGGCTAAGAGATTGTCAGTCTTCAGAAGCTGCTTTCAGATATACATAAAAGCACCTGTAATAGACAACTAATTCTTTTATTATTATGCTTATTTTTTTTTTTTTTTAGCCAATTGTGTTACTGGATTAGAACAAAATCAGGTTCTTCGATTTTAGAACTATTTACTTACGTTCTAAAATGGACTGTATATAACACCAAGCCTCTATCCACTTTAACAGGAGACCATCTCAGCAAACTACGAAAGTTATAGGAATAAACCATCACATCCTTTGGTGCCGGTAAATGGGCAGAAGATTCTAAAGTAAAGAGAGGAATAAAAATAATTATTGAAACATTCGAGTACACAGTAACTAACTTTTGGTCTCCAGATTTCATCACCATATATTACATTTTCACGTCTTTGCAGGCAAAGCCATTCCTCCTCCTTATTTCATTTCTAGGCACACTAATAGCAGTACATTTAAGTCCCTGCTATCCACAAAGCACTGAATTGCAACTTATTACTTTTAGCAATCCCACACTGAAAGTACAGAGCCCAGCACAACACAATAAACACCACCCAGCTCCGCCATGAAGCTTTAAATTAAGGTCCACAGCCACTTGTCATTACAAAAGCTCATCTATTTCAATTGTCTGCATCTCATGTTTTATTGGATTAACAACTCAGAACACGCTTTTCCTGACTTTCTGCCTCCTGCTAACTTGTTTGAAAACGCCAAGGTCACTTCAGGGAAACTTTCCAGGAAACAGGTGGGAGGGAAAAAAAAAAAAAGCCTTTTCATACTTAAACATTCACTAACACATAGTGCACCATTCCACTTGCAAGCCTGAAGTTTTGTCAATTTTGAAACTGATTTCACAATGTGGAAAAGGACAGAAACCTCTGTTAGAGGTGGGCCTTCTGCTAGTAGGAACATCCACCCAAATTCGATCATGTCATAAACCCCTGGGGGTGAATGAAGACCTGCAAGTGCTCTCAAGCAGCTTGTCAGGAGGTGAGCAACATAGAAGCAGAGAGCAAAGAGTTGTGTCTGTAGTACAGAGGAACCACCACTTCCCTGTTGGCCCAAGCAGGGCGGAGGAGGAAGCTGTCTATTGGGACTGGAGCATGGCTGAAGGCCAGGCACCGGGCTGGGGGCGGAGGGGTAGAAAAGCCACGCGGAGGGAGGGAGGGAAGGAAGCCAAGCAAAAGGCAGAGAACCAAGAGCTGGGGAAATGGCGGTGGGTGAAGTAACGATAGACAGACGAGAAATTAAGTGGAGTAGCAACTGGAGGGAGATGTTAGCTGGCAAGCAGAGCAAAGCAGCAGCCTGGAGAACCAGAAAACACTGAAAGACAAGGAGATCAATGGCGAGGAATTGGAATAGCTAAAAAAAGAGACTAAGATTACCACAAGTAGGCTGAGGCGAAGACGACACTTATCAAACGCTTTTAAAACCTGAAAAGCCTCACACTTCTGACCACAGCACTGCAGTCACTGGGGCAGGAAGGGCCCTCAGGAAGTCTCCTCCAACACCCTGCCCAGAGCAGGGCCAGCTCTGGCATCAGACCAGGCTGCTCAGGGCTTTCCCCAGGCAGGTCCCAGAACCTCCAAGGACAGAGCCTGTACAGCCTTGCTGGGCAACAGCTTCACTGCCTCCCTGTCCAAAGAGGGAGAATGGTTTTCCTTCTCCACTTGACTTGTATTTGCCTGCGTAGTGATCCACTTACACCATTAAAAATACTGAGTCAGCAGGTCCTAAGCTCAAAGGCAACCATGACATGACATGATATCCTGTCATGACATCCTGCCACGTACAGGAACATGAATCTTCAGAAAGTTCGATATCCCACATGATAAGATTTCCATTTTTTGTTCTTAAGACAATAGTCTCCTAAGATACGGTTTGCTCATTTTTGCACAAATAAGATCAGAAGATCAAGCACTTAAGCGAAATTCTGGCACCAGCCTTCTTTGGAAATATAGGGATAATGTTAAAAAGTTTTTTTATTTTTACATTTGATTTTGTTACACAGCACTAGACAGCACACTGATGCTGACAGTGCTTATCTTTCAGAAGAGACGTCATGCCAAGATCTTAACATCCTGCCATGTACAGGAACATGAATCTTCAGAAAGTTGCATTAAACCCTAAGCCCCAAATACAAAAGAACTAGTTAAGGTTTCGAAGTTTTAATTAGGTAAATTACTAGTTTCTTAGCCTCAGCTTTTGAGTAGTGCTCTTGAATAGACACACATTGCCTTAGACTACAGATGGATCATTCAGCATTGCAAACCTGTTTGAGATTCCTTACAGATACAAATGCTACCTAAGCTATTAATCTCTTGTGTATTTTAAAGGCCTCTAAGTAACTTCTTCAATCAAGGAAAGTTTTCACTTTCCAGACATGCAGATTCTTTCTTGTGTTCTCGCTGCTGGTCTGGCATGTGGCAAGGTATCTCACACCATCAGTAATCTGTGCACTCAGACATCTGATACAAACTAATTCTACAAAATTCAAAAAAAGCTATGAGAACGAAACACAAGCACTAGAATTTTTTTTTTCTTCTCTCCTCTCGCCCTTAAAAAAAAAAAAGGAAAAAGCAATGAAGGATGAGAGCTGGTTCATCTTCTCAGTCAAGAGCACACACTGATTATTTTGCCTTATGTTAGCACTCAGAAACAAATAATTTCCCCTAACAGCTTAAAAAACACTGAAAAAATTACCAAATCTATGGCTCTGTACTTGAATGTCAAGGTGCTGTGCAAACTCAAGGCACTTACTACTGCACTGAGGAGCTGTTTTCATAGCAAACCTAAGGAACCCATTCGCATTTTGGTTAGACATCTCAACTTGACAAGGGAAGTTACATAAATTTCTGAAATCACACACTGAACTTTGTAACGACCATTAGTTTGTAGGACCTAAAGTAAAAAAACTACAGAACACCTACATATGCAAATATCCTAGAAAAACCCAAACTACTTTAGCCAGGGAAAGGCCGAAATGCCCCATCCTTTCTCTCTGTCTGGAAAGTGGTCTCACTGAATCTGTTCTTATAAAGCCAAACAATGCTCAGATTGTTTTTTCCTGATGCAGAGACTTCCTGACTCTTCAAGCCGCAAGTCAAAGCTTTCATATAGCAGAGTGTGAAGCCACAAGTTACAGTAAGTGAAAGCAGCTCAGCTTGGCCTACCTATTGGTTTCACAGCCTCCATCCCTGCTCCTGAATGATTTCTGATCCCTTCCCCTGCATCAGCCATAAAACTCATTATTTTGCTAAATGGCAAAAAAAGAAGCTTTGGGGTGTGTGAGGTCTGTTGGATGGGCTTTTGCTGTTCTAGTGTACTGAACTGGCTTCTCATATTGTCAGACAAGCACCACAGCCTGCAAAAGGTAAATAGCAGAAGCGAGTGGCCAGGTGGGGACAGGTGATGACAGCTGGCTATTATTTTGGCTCAGGTTTTAACATGTAGCATCTCCATTTGCAGCAGAAGAAACACAGCACACCGTGCCTATGAGAGAGAGCGTAGAGTGGGAGGAGGCCCTACGCACAAGCCGAACACCTCCCTGAGAAATCCGGCTGCTGCTGATGGGATGGGACTGGGCAATGCTGACTGCAGCAGGTCCCCCCAGCTTGTCTCAGCCCACCCAAGGGCATTTGGACTCAGGAGTTGAACCACGGACCGGAAGGGCAGCTGCCCCCAAAGAGCCGGAGAGCCCCATGGAGCTCACCAGTCACAGGCTGGCCAGACAGGCCTTGACAAACACGAGGAAACGTGACAGCAGACATGTTGAACTCATGGCAGTACCCGCGTGCCTGCATAAGGACCACGCTGTACGCATACCTCATTCAAGACATGTCACCACAGCTCTTCCACATTTGCTGGGAAACGTACTAAAGCCAGGGTTATACTCGTGAGCTATAGCTCAGACCTGACTTGAAGAACAACACCCCCACCCCCCACACCCCCACCCATTATGGCAAAGCATTCACATCGAAGTCTAAATCCAATCCTACCTAAACCGTCAATTCACAAAATTAAACGGAGGAGGCTCAAGCACCGCCGATGAAGGGCAGCCACACGACGAACTACAGCCACACAGACAACTTAATGCCGTATCAATCCCCCTTTTAAACACTGAACCCGTGCAGGTTTCAGCCGCTCTCTCACAGAGGCAGCAGGTTTTGGGCCAGGCTGCCCAGTGCCCGGCAGCTGCCCGCAGAGCTGGAGGCAGCCCAGAGATTTTCTGGGAGCAGCGACCCCGGGGTCGGCAGGAGAAAGCAGGACTTGTCTTCTTCCAGAGGGAACCGTACTGAAGCCG